GAGAGAGAGAGAGAGAGAGAGAGAGAGAGAGAGAGAGAGAGAGAGAGTGTTTAGGGCTGGGGAGGCGGGAGAATGTGCTAGGGAGAGAACACGAAGCAGAAGTTGGTTAGAAAAGGAGAGCAAGCAGGCATAGTCCTAGCCTTTGAACGTTCTGCTCTCTGTGGCAGATCGGCCACATAGTCCCGAGCTGAATTGGGATTAAGGGGCAATAGAGGCAGGACAGAACGACGCCCCCACCCCCACCCCGCGCGCCACAAGACTACATTTGGCTCAACACAATGGGAGACCTTCAGCTTCTCCTCTGAGACTCCCCGGGAACTCCCTGCCCTAGCAGGTTGACTGCTCTGCGTCTCTGTTCCTGTTAAGCATCCAGAGCTAGATGCGGAGGGGAAGCATGAGGTCAGTTTGTATTAAGTACAGTAGTCGGGCTCCACGGATATTAAAGCCCACTGCAGCCGAGGTTTGGGAACCCCAGGACTGGAGGGACGTCTTAGGACGCCTGGCCTCAGATTCCACAAGTCAGAGTTCAGTTTCGGGGCTGCAGTGCGGCTCCTCTCCGCCCCCCCTCGCTCTCCCCCGCCCCTCCGCTTCATTTATGATCTAACATTGGAGCTGCAGGTGTCGCAACCTCCCTCCCACCCCTCCAGCAGCCATTCCCGGGTCATGGAGGAGAGTGGACGACAGTGAGGCATTGAGACTCCAGGGGCCAGCACTCCCATTCAAGCACCTTAGGTTCTCAGCGGGGAGCACGAGGGTGTATTGGGGGTTGGGAAGGGAGAGGGGAGGACTGCAGAGCTCAGCTTTGGAGCAGAGCATGGGAGTGGGGGAGGGGCGGGGGCTCCCTTCCAGATTTCAGGGTCTGGGGACTCAGGGATGTAAAGGAGAGCAGGGGGTGTGACAATTCAGCCGAGGTCGGGACGTACCACGGAACCAAGTAGCGGCGGGGGTGGGGGGGAGAGGACGTGGTCACCGAGGGGAGCCCCCGCCCCCTTCGCAGAGGCCGGGGCTGGGGTTGCGGAGGGAACTGGAACTGGGCTTGCCCTAGGGGAAGGCGGTGTGGTCAGTCCGTCCCCTCCTCACACCCTACTCTGAAGGGGTGGCCATAGAGGAGAGGTTGGGGTTGGAGCAGCGGCGAGGGGGCCCCTCCCTGGCACCTCCCCCCACTAGACTTGGTCGCGCCCGAAGTGTAACACTTTCTCTTTGTCGGAGGAGCTCCACTGTTTCCTGTGCAGCAGCTCCCGTTGCAGCGGCACCCGTAGCAGCCCTGGCGGACGAAGGAGCGATGGCAGCGGCCGATATAACTCGCCAGGTGGTGAGTGCAGGACTTGGGTACCAGCGCCGGGGCCAGGGGGCCTGAGGATGGCGAGGAGACTTGGCTGTGGCCACTGCCACCGCGAGGAGGGCAAAGGGCAGCATCCAGGAGCAGAAGCAGGGCGGAACTTTTGCTCCGGGGGTCAGCGGCTTAGTCCCCTGCAAGCATGCCCTGAGAACCGTGGTGGCGGGGGGGTGGGGGCGGTTGGCAGAGCCTGCAGGCAGGCAGCTGAACTTGCGTTGCGGGAGAGGGCTGCAGTGAGCGCCTCAGTCTGCCTCGCTGCAGCTGCGGCCGCGCCGCTGGGGCGTTGCCGAATGAATGGCCGAACGAGCCGCCGAGCCCTCCAGGTCCCAGTTCCTTTAGCCTGGCGGTACCCCTGCACGCAGCTCCATGCTGGGACTCCAGCTAGCTCTGGAAGAGGGGCGCAGAGCTAGGGGTAGCCTGGGGCAGAAGGCAGAGTTGTGGCGAGGGGGGCGGGGAGGTGACTGATTGGAGTAGGGTTTCTCCATATGCATTACATATGTGACTGCGTGTGTGTGTATGTGTGTGTGTGTGTGTCTGGCAGTATGTGTGTGCATATATGTGCATGCATGTGCCCTCTTGCCTTTCCCCGGGCAGGCGGCAGTGGCGCCAGGGTTCCGTGACCCTGTATGAGTCGGCCTGTTTCTCCTACTGTGCTCACTCACCTCTATGGCGTGTGTGTGTGTGTGTGTGTGTGTGTGTGTGTGTGTGTGCATCTGAATGCCTCTGTGTCCGCTTGTACTGGGCCCCGCAGGGTCCCAATTGTGCGTCAGTGTGGGGTGAAATCCGCCCTGGCCTGTAGGTGGCTGGCTGCATCATCTTTGGGCATGTTTCTGAGTGGACCTCTGGGGGTCCGTCTTGGGCGTGTGTTCACTGTACCTGGGCTTGTGTGCTAAAACCTGTGGAGCTGGCATCTTTCTATGAGGGGAAAATAATGTGAGACTTGCACAAACAGTGCATCCTCTCCTTTTGTTGGCGACCAACTCTGGAAAAAAAAATATCATTTTAAAAACTGAAGTTTTCCAGCCTGAGGTGTGCAGAGAAATCATACAGAAGTGACCTGAGATACCATGTTTGGTATTTTTTAGATCAAAAGTTGGTTACAGAGGGAAGAGACGACTCCATTTGAAGGAACAATCTAGTCTTCCTATTTCCACCAGCACACCAGCTCTCAAAGTTGAAGCAGGAGAATGAGGTACATAGAGGTAGGGCAGGCATATCCCACTACCCCAAATACTACTTGATGAAAATGGATAACCTTATAACCTTATAGGTACTTAGAGAAATAGTCTGCACAAGGATTCCAGTGCAAGAAGGAAAAGAGGAAACCAGCCTCTGGTGTAATTGAAATTGATTTGTTTTTTAAATCTGAATCCAGAATCTGATTGTATTTTCTTTACAGTTAGAGACATTTATTCCATCTCCTGTCCCCGTTTGGAAGGTTGGGGTTTTCTTTGGAACCTCCCCCACCCTCCATACACCCCAGCACAGAACTCTTTATGCAGTCATGGTGTGGAGAGCGGAGGTGCAAATAAGAGACAATTCTTTATGATGTCAGAATTTGAGATAATTCTTTTCTCAAGATTTACATTGCAATAGTGCTTTTAGTGTTTTTAGGGCAACCAGAGTGCTTTTCTGTTCCTACTCACCTGCATTTTAGAGATGGCATAGTTTTAAGTAGATGAATCAGTTTCCTGGATTACACTTGCTCTATCCTTAGTGACCAAAAATACTAATAATTTTTTTTCTTGTCATAGCAAATTTGCTTCAACCTGTCCTCACCAGTTTCCCTTGCCTGGATTAGGATTGCAAGGTAGATGTTGCAAAGGGAGAACATTCCAGAAGGTTATTTCATCTTAGGCACAACTCAGGCAATCCAGAGACCTCCTTTGTTCTACAGATAGGAGGCTGCAAAGGGGTGGGTTAAGGCCCCTTGATTTTCTGTGCAATAGTTCCAGTTTGCCCTGACTGGCCTTGACATAGTATATGCTGAAAAAAATAATTGTATGGAAGATTATGGAGCTTAAAGAGCAGACCAAGCACTTGAGACTTTCTTACCATGATAAATGTGTTTCTGGGAAAACTGACGTCACTCTCCATGCTTCCCTCCCCCAAGCCAGTGAAGCTCTTATTTATGTGTCATTTGTCTCTCTGCTTTCCTTTGTGTCTGCAAGAAGTTGTAATTCACCAGGGGAAGCTGGAATTAACTCAAGAGACTTTGGGTGGCTGGTTGATCTTGGTTTCTTCCAAGGAATATGTGTCTAGGGCTTGGGAAGAGAAGACTAGAAAGTCAGGCTAAGTGTGGATAGCTTAAGAGTTCTTTTCAATAAGCTCTGAGATGTGGTGCCATGGGAGTAGTTGGTGTCTGTGCTTGGGTGTCTTTCCAGAGTCACTTGTGGGTCACTGTGGCCAAATATCCTTAGAGTTAAACTGACCTGAGAGTTACTAATCAGGGCCTACATCTGGGTATGTATGCACCCTAGGAGTTCACAGCTCAGTCCCATTCCATCTGAATGAACACCACAAAGGATTGTATATGACAGCACTCTTTCTCCTCTGCAGCTATGAATATTTGTTTGACTGATGTGAACAGCTCTATGTCCAGCCCCTTGTCAACCATACCCAAAAAGGTGGCAGGCATAATTCATGACTTTTAAGCTTCTAGCATGGTTGGAGACACAAAATCTAGACACTGCCATAATCACAGAACTAGTAGAAGATTCTTGGGGTGTTTCCTGCCTGTGAGGTAACCTGGCCTGCCATTGCTATGTACTGGGAAAGGTTCCATGAGTCGTTCAAGGTGACCTAGAAAGGCACAGCACACTCTCCAAAGCTACATCTCCTGGCTATTGCACTAGGTTCTTTCAGTGTTTCATTTTTGGTTCACACTGTAAATTCTGTTTTTCAGAAAGCACAGTGTGGTTGATTCTGGTTTGAACAAACCCCACAATCTGAACAATGTTGCTTTTTTCCAGGGATAGTCCATGTAATGACTCTAACAAAAGATCTTGCAGGGATTAACTTTGCCCTAGGATGACTAGCTAGGGTTGTCCTGGAACAACTGTCTCCAGGTTAGGCAGTACCATTGAGGGGAAGACTAGTAAGTGGTAATTACCTCTACCCTGGTTGTTCTTAAAAATTAATTCATACATTTTTAGTTATTTTATGTGTATGAGTGTTTTGCCTTCATGTAAGTGCATGTGTGTTACTGGTGCTCACAGAAGCCAGAAGGCAGTGCAGGATCCCCTGGAACTGGAGTTATACACCATTGTTAGCCTCCATGTGGGGTGCTGGGAACCAAATGCAGGTCTTCTCTCTTAACTGATTAGCCATCTTTCCAGGCCCCTCTTTAAAAAAAAATTTTTTTTTTCAAGACAGAATCTCACCATGATGCCGAAGGTTGGCCTGGAACTCCTGCCTCTGACACTTGCTTGAGTCTGGGATTACAGGTGTATGTCATCCATCTGGACAACAGTTACGCTGTTCCTTCCCTCTTGAAACTCCTTGTTAGTCATCCTTAATCACTAATAGTAATAATTGTACTTCAAAGAAGGGAAACTGAACCCCTAACATTCCCCTGTACACCTACTGACAGTATAGCACTAAAGAAAGTTTACATGGTCCCAAATAGTAAAAATTGTTGAATTCAGGGATGGAGAGATGGCTCAGCAGTTGAGAACACTGGTTGTTCTTGCAGAAGACCTGGGTTTGAATCCCAGCACCCACATGGCACCTAATAACCACCTGTAACTTCAGTTCCAGGGAATCTGACACCCTCTTCTGACCTCAGCAGGCACTATACAACACAGGTGCATACTTACACACATGCAGGCATAACATGCATCCACAGAAAATGAAAATAAATAAATTTTTTAAATAGTTAAATTCATGTAAAAGGAATGTGAGCAATCACTATACAACTTTCCAACTTTTCTGTGTGTTTTAAGATTCGTTTTAAAAAGTTATAGGAAGCTGGGTGTGGTGGCACATGCCTTTAATCCCGGCACTCAGGAGACAGAGGCAGGAGGATCTCTGTAAGGTTGAGGGCAGCTTGGTCTACATAGCAAATTCCAGGCGAGCTTGGGCAAAAGGGAGACCCTGCCTGAAAAAAATCAAACAACAAAAAAAATTTAGAGGAGCATTACAGGGCTCTCCTCCCTCCTGTTAGATGAAAAGGTGGCAGATCTGAACCCTATCACCTCCAAGTACACATGGCCCCTTCCCTCAAAGGAGTTTACAATCTAGTGGTCGAGGCAAACAAATCCTGATTTGGGGCTGGTGAAAGGGTTCAGTGGGTAAAAGCACTTGCCATGAAACCTGATAACTGCAGTTTGGTCTCTAGAACTCAGGTAAAGGTGGAAATAAAGACCCAACTCCACAACTTTTTCCTCCAACCTCCACACGCTGTGCCACACGTGTATCCATACACACATCAAGCATACACACACTCACACAATAATAATAGTTTAAAATCCCTTTTTAATTATCATTATGCTAAGTACTGAAGAAGAGAGCTACTGCCTGTCATGAAAAGTCATTATTAAGGGGATCTAATTCAACTGTGGAGGCTGTAGGTGATAGGAAAGGCTTCCTGAGGGTTCCTGGGCTTCCGGTAGGAAAAGGGTAGGTGTGAAAATGGGTGAGATCTCACTTCGGCCACTGGTTTTCAGAACAGTTCATTTGTGAATTCACCCGCTGCTATTTTCATTCATTCCTTCAACGTTTATTGGGCACCGACTCTGCTAGGTCCTGTGCCAAGTGTTGGGCATATAGTGGTGGCCAAGGCATGCAGGAACTCTGATTTCTCAGAGCTTCCAGATGAGAGACAGGAATAGGCCCTGTTTCCTCTTGACATTCTAAATCCAGGAAATGTGAGTATTAGCAGTATGTTTATTACAAAACTTCATTACAGTAGACTAATTGGGCTATATAATATAATGAGATTTTGATCTGCACTCATATGCATAACATTTACTTTG